TTTCATTACTTTTATCGTTTCTTCTTTTACCTGGGAGATTATTTCTAGTTTGAATTCCTTTAAAGCTTCCTGGAGTTGCTTCTTTATTTCAGTTGCTGTCATTACAGGTATTTCAGCTGCATGGCATATATTTTCTTCTATGTACATGGCTCCTAGGGCTTCTTGGGATGGGCTGGAGGTTTTAGATTGCATTTTAGTCTTTCATTTTGTCATTTTCCTATATTTCTGTGTTTCAAGTGTTTTTCTAAAGCTTCCCCTGGATGTGTTGGAATTCGTTTCCTATGCCCTAGGCTCCTGGGACTGAATGGAGGTTGCTGAGCATGGTCCAATCAGGCCCTCAGGACTTCTTGTTCCACCTTCAGTGTTCCTGGTAGCTGGGCAGGCACCTATCCACTGTGGATTATGGGCTAAAGCTCTCCCTGGGCACACCAAAGCCCTGACACTCACTTCAGTTGCTCTCCACTCCCTTTATTGAAGAAGGTCGGTGGGGTAATCTACTCAGGCTGGAAAACCTCCCAAGGCAAGTCTAGAGTGGCTGGACTCTGGGTGGCTCCTTGAGCTCTGGGAGCAATCATCTTAACACAGTCTCCTGGGCTCTGGATAGGGAGCTGATTCACCCAAGCTGCCAGCTGAATTTCTTGGTTCCGGGTTCCGGAGAAGGCCTCTGGTCATGTCCTGGGCAAGCCTCTGTTTTGAATACTTTCAATGGAGTTTTTATTTTCCTGGATATCTGCTTGAGTCTGCTTTATGGATTCTATTTGTCTCCTATGCCACGCTCCCATAATTTGCTTAAACTCATCTATTTTTTTGTGTGTGTCCCCTTTATCATTGCTAAGCATGGTGTATATTTTGGAAATCTCTGTAGTTATCTGAGAGATTATTTCTGGTTTCATTTTTTCCAGAGTCTCATTCAATTGCTTTGTTGTTACCACTTCAGAGGGATCTGATAGTGGGTTTTCGGATTGTCCCAACTCATTGCCCCCTAGGTTTGCCTTTGGTGAACTGGATGTCTGGGGTTGCATCTTATTTAAGTGTATTCTCATTTCTTTTCCTTTTTAGTTTAATTCTTGGGGTGATGCTTGTAAGTTGTCTATTGTGGGTTGCTTTGTTGGTGGTATTTGGGACACTTAGGTGATGATTACTTTTCTGAGATATCTTCCAGGTATACCTGTTGGAATATCTTATTTCTTAAGTATGTTGGAAATGAAAAATTGTTGCTCACTTGGCCTAGTCCCTGGTTCTTTGCCACAGTATTTCTTGTGACCCTGAGTTAATCTCAGTCATGAGTTGTCAGGGCCAACAGCTGTTTAGAACAGTTTATATCAGTTTTGGCTATAGTGGTACCAATAACATCAAATACAGCCTATAACACAACAAAATGAGCTAATCCTAATTTGCAACTTTTAACTATATGAACCAGATTTGTGGTTATATAACAATATGTAAAACCAGCCAGATAATTACATGCAGTATATAAATCTGTAATGTATCCATTTTGCCCTAAGGGTTAAAATAGATGAAGGAGATAATAGAGAAGTGGAAAGAAAGAAAGAGATTAGAAGTAAGGTTGGAGGACAAAGATGTGTCCTACCAACTTGGGGAAACTTGTAAAGAAGATTGAAAGAAAAGAGAGGTAGAAGAGATAAAAAGTAGAATAAGACAGAACCACACCCATAAAGAGGTTAGGAACCACTCTGACACATTAAAAAAAAGAAAGAAAATGGAATAAAAAAAACCTGAGTAAAACAAACAAGAATAAAAAAAAGAGAAAAAAAAAAAGGGAGATTTCACTTCTAGGATTCTCTCTGGGTTCACGAGTAGACAGTCTGTGAAGACAGAATCCCGAACTATGCCACTATATTCCAGGAAGCCAACTGTTGCTTTATGGCACAGTGGCAGGTGACCTTAGCAGGCCTGTCCTAAGATCAGACTCATTGGGCTTGCCACAGTCCAAGAAGTTTACAAGGGTCTGCACTCAGCTCAGAGCTGCTGGAGGAAGCCTACCAGCAGTTCTGGTTCTGAGCTTATCTGGCCCAACTTCAAAATGGTTCCTGGCCAACGGCTCTCTCCCTGGGAGGACTAAGTCCTCTGCATTCACCACCAGTCAGTACAGTCCTCCAAGTCCGCCGCTCCCCTCCACTGCTGAGTCGCTCTACAGGCACCTCTGGGGTCACCAGTCCCCACCATCACTGTCACTGTAACCCTATGTTCCTAGGTTACAACAGCTCCTTTCGTGCAGTTAGTCTGGTTCTGGGTGAAGGTGCCACAAGCTACCGTAGCCTTGTTCTTCATTGAAATTTTTCTTTTTACTCTCTCTGTGGGCTTCAGTTCACACTTCAAATTCTTCCTGGGTCCAGGGGGACCACTCCCTTCCTTCTAGTATTCCTCACGATGCTATGTTCCAGTGTCTGGACGGTGACTCGCAGAGTCTGTTATCTCTGCTGCTTACTGCTCTACCATCTTACTCTCTTACTAACTACAAAACCTTCCTTTTAGTTGAGTCACCATTTTTTGAGTGACAGAATTGAGACCAAATAGGTGAAGTGACTTATTAGTGAACTTCTATTCATGTTCTAACTAGAACTTCAGTCTCCTGATTCTTTGGCCCAGACTCTTTCTGGAGGTCCTTGTCTGTGCTGAATGCTGTGAAGGACACAGTGAGAGTCTAGTAGAATTCTTACCCTCAAAGCATTATGACATAGGTGTGGCAATAATATGTATGCATATAAACAACCAATGATGCAAAATAGATGAAAGGTATCGGGGTAGAGAAGAAGGCTATGAGAGTTCAAGAAGGCAAAGAGTAAATGGCCTGAAGGAAGATTTTTTTTGCATACATTCACAGATATTTATTGAGCATCCACTTTTTGCCAAACACTGTGCTGAGACCATAGCAAGGAAGGCATAGAAAAGGTAGCTTTGGAGTTGTACCCTGAAGGACAAATACACGTTGACATGCCACTGGATTTTGCTATGACTGATGTAATGCCTAGATTGTGGGAGGTAATAAATAGTAGGAAGTAAGAAGGAGAGACTGTTAAAAAGATGCAACACATTGGTGAACACTAGTGTGAGGCCCAGAATGCCAAGAGGGGTTCTGAGTGCTGGGGTGCAGCCGACCTTTCCCTCTTTGTCACCTCTCACCTCTCTTTTTTGCAGGTTGTGGAGCCAGATTCAAATAAGGATTCTGGCTGGGGATATAGTTCGGCAGCACAGCACCTGCCTGGCAAGCACGAGGTCTTAAGTTCAATTCCTGATACAAAAAAAAACAAAAACAAAAACAAAAAAACACCCAAATAAGGATTCTTTCCTCACTAGTAGTATGACCTTGGGAATTTACTTAATACTTTTGTGCCTCTGTTTCCACATCTATGGAATGAAGATAAGAATAGAATTCAGTTCATTGATAAGAGGATTTCATGAGCTTATAGATGTAAATTGCCTAGAACAGTGCCTGACTGAGTATTCTGTCTTATGAATATCATTATAATCAGTAAACTAATTTAGGAACCAAGAACTTTAGAGGTTTGGCAGAGTCTATTCATTTTCATTCCTTGGGAAGAGAAACAGGCTAAGTGAGGCTTAGAACTCAGGCAGTGTTTCTGCCCGGAATAATGGGCCCATCCAGTGGATGACAAGTCCTGTAACCTTTAGTCTCAAAATGGCTCTCAGTTCTGTAAGTTGTCACCATGAACCATGGCTGCTTGAACCACTGCCATCATCTGACTGGTCTCCACATTTCCTCTTCTAATCCCTGCAGGTTGTTCACCAGTGAGAACAACCGGATGCATATGAGAGCCCATTTCTCCTCTGCTTAAAACTCTTCCAGGACAAATCCCCAGCAGGCTCCTTCTCTTTCATTTTTCCACAGCTGGCTCTTTCCTTTTTACCCCAGGCTTCTGCATATTGTTTCTGTCTGAGACACTCTTCCCAGTTTCTTTTCACCTGCTGAACTATATACTCTTCCGATGGTCTTAGTGCCTTACTTAGTCAAAGTAATGCCTTTGGGGATTGTTCTTATAGAGGACCCTGAGCTGGATGTGGCATCAGGCTCTGCATTTGATGCTCTGATGTCTGGGGGAGGATAAACCCTGGATGACGGGCAGACATCCGTGGTGTCTCCCACTTACCTCCTTACCAGGCGCTGCAGTAAGTGCTGCCTCCTCTGACTGTCCACATCTGTGAAACCTCTGTCCCTTCCTTCTGGACAGCAGAGGATGAATTGTCTTCTGAAAGGAAAAGAAAAGAAAAGCCTTTGTATATTTCTGCATATTAGTCCTCTGTCCAAAGAGTAGCTAGTAAAAAGTTTTTAGCCATTCTATGGTTGTCTCTTGGTGGTTTTCTTTGCTGCGCATAAGATTTTTAATTTGATGCAATCCCATTTGTTCTTTCTTGATGTTATCTCTTGGAGAATTGGGGTTCTTTTCAGAAAGCCCTTATCTATACCTATGACGTCCGAGAGTTTTACCTACATTATCTTTCAGCAAGTGGTTCTGTTTTAACATTAGATCTTTGAACCGTTGACCAATATGAGTCTAGCTTCAATCTTTTGCATGTGGATAGCCAGCACCATTTGCTAAGGAGGCCCTCTTTCCTCCAGTTTATGCTTCTTGGACAGACCAACAATAGGAAATAGGGAGACAAATCTATGACAAATGGGAAAAGGATTAAGTTGGGGGGATATAAAGAATTTTGTTATATACATGTATCAATTACCCACAGTGAACATATTTGTGATGTACTGCAAATGTGTAAAAAATATTAAATAAATAAAATAAAATCCCACAACTCTAGTTCTTCCTGTACTTCCTTTCCCTGGAAAGCCTGAAGCAACTGTGTGTAGAAACTCCCTTTGTCCTTCACTGGTTGTGTCTCAAAGGAAGGTAGAGAAACCGGAGTAGCTAAAACCCCAGCCCAGGGCTCAGTGATAATGGTTTCAAAACAGCTTTTCTCAGAATTTAAAGTTACATGCTGTGCTTTTATTTCTTGTTTGCTTTTAGCTCAGAAGGCACTTTCCTGTGGATATATCCCTCCAAGTAAGTGCACTGAATTCTTAGTTATCTACTGATGTCTCCCAGATCTGCTCTCTTACCCACTATACTCTGTTCTTCACACGTAAGCCAGTGATGGTTCTCAGGCCAAAGCTAGAGGGTAGTTTGGAGGGGGACAGGTTTCTGCCCATCTGGGGATCTGGACTGTATTTCTTTAGTTGCTCAGACTTGTTTTTATAGAGCCAAGTCTTGTGCTCTGCATTTACGTCTTAATCAAAGGTCTCTGTAAGTGGCCCAATTTGTGGAACAGTCCTGTCTTGCTGATAAAAAATGAATCTGAGAAGGTATTATCCACACTATTCTGCTCTGTATGTGTTATCTAATGAACTGTGAAAGAAATTGCTCTGAGAATAAGAATCAGAAGAAATTTCAAGTTTCTTAAATAACTAATGTTTATTATTAAAAAAAAAAAAAAAAGAAGAAAGAAAAGAAAATGAAGCCTGTAATCCCAGCACTTGGGAGACTGAGTCAGGAGGATTGCTGCAAGTCTGAGACCAGCCTGGGCATAAAGTGAGGTCAAGGCCAGCCTGAACTGTATGGTAAAACTCTGCAAAGAGAGAGAGAGAGAGAGAGAGAGAGAGAGAGAGAGAGAGACAGAGAGACAGAGAGACAGACAGAGAGAGAGAGAGAGAGAGAGAGAGAGAGAGAGAGAGAAAATCAAAGCTGTGCAAACCTGAATTTCCCCCTTCTTTGTCTTGGTGGCCAGGAAGCTTAGAGCAAACTATTGTTTTTGTTTGTTCTAGTCCCACCTTCGCAGCTAATGTAATTTCTCCCCTGCTGGTTTTATACCTTGGCACCTTGTTCAACTATTATAGTCTGATATCTTGGCTATAAAATAAAATAACGGTCGTTTGGGATGTCTGAGATCACGTGAAAATGCCACTGATCCAGTTAATGCTTGTTTTCTGTTGCTGTCTGTGTGTTTTATTCTTTCTTTTTTTTTTTAAACTAGGGATTGAACTCACAAACTTGCACTTGCCAGGCAGGCTTGTGGGTGTGTGTGTGTGTGTGTGTGTGTGTGTGTGTGTGTGTGTGTTATTCTTGTATTTTTTCTTGTATTGTATTCTTGTATTCTTTATCTGCTTATTACAATTATATCTTTTAACATAAGCTATCTCAAACCCTTCCTGCAAGTACAAATTCATGACATTAAGATGTCTTAATATCATTATGCCTGTTTGCAAATTACCTGCCACCTTCTCTGTCCAAATGAAGAGGGCTGTATACCCTGGCTTCTTCCTCTTTCTCGCTCAGAAAGCCCCGATTGTTGTGGAAAATTTCTCAAGTGAGTACCTGTGGTGACTTCTAATTGTAATTTCCTAAACTTTTTCTTCAGCTGTTCTCAGATTTCCTGAAACTGTCATAGTTGACCTTTGGACAAATAGAATTTTTTTTAGACTGACCTTTGGAGCAAACTGAATTACCTTAGTTTTCCAAAGAGATAATTTTTTGAACTGTCCATTGTTTTTTCATTAAGGTTTACAGTTTGTTACAGTAAATCACCTTTATGGTAGGTTTGTTATTATTATTAATTATACTTTTGAGAAGAGAAAGTCCAAATTCAGGGAGAGAAAAACCTTTTACCACAGTCACACAGCTAGTAATTGGTCAGTTCAGGACTTGGTCTATGTATTAATAGCACTCCCACCCTCATTTTTCCCCTCCCCCTCTTGGGGGTCCCTGAATGGACCGAGGGCTGGGACTGCGCAAGGGATAAGAGGCTGACCCTCAGGTCCGTCTCCTTCTTTTTGGCAGCAGGTTTCACTTCTGACTGTTTTATGAACTGCCATCTTAAAATGAACTTCTTAAAGAGTGATGCGCTGCCATTAAGAAAAAGATTTGGAAACCCCCTTGTTTGGGTAGTGCCTTGTTTTCTAAAAATCTTCATATTCTTTTTTATTTTCTAGAAACCCTGAAGTTGATAACAACAGCAGCCAGAAGGGCTGGTGGTTCTTGAGCTGGTTTAAGGATGGGTAAGGTGGTCGGGGGTGATACTTTGTTGTCCACTCACTCTGAGCTGTCAGAGAATCCGGTTAAAATGGTTTCACATTTATGACCTCAGTCTCTCATCATTCTTGCTTACTGAAATCATATGAAAAATCTCTCGTGGGTGGGGCTAGGACATTTAAGACGAGGCTTTTTTCCGCCTTCCCCTTCCAATTAGCATAAAGGTGAGGCTTGGGCTAATATGTGAATTGCAGGAAAGACATTATAAAAAGTCTGCCCAATCCCTCAAATGATCTGAGAATTGCTGTGTCATTAAATTGCTGTCTTCAATGAGCAATAAGAAAAGGGGTACTGCCCTTTTCATTCAAAGTATTCCTACTGAATAAAGGTGGAGCATAGGAGCCTTTCTCCAGCCCGTGCCCCGGTGCTCATCTTCTGCCTCCCATCCCATGAGATGGTTGCTTGTCTTAATTGCCTTGCTTTCCCTTTGTGCTTAGGACCCACGATTATCAAGAGGAAGAAATCAACATAGAAGAAGGGACAGGAAGAGAGCTTCACCTATCAGACTGGTTTGATCCAACGTAAGAAAAGAAGCAATGCTGTGTGTGCAATAAATCCATAGCTCTGCAGGAGGTAGGGCAGCATAGACTGCTTGAATGCAGCGGAGAAATTCCTGATTAAAACAGAAAAGTCCTCCTGATTAGGGGGAAAGGGCCTTAGCATACATTAGACCTCTATGAATATGAACTTTGGATAAGAAACTGAGATCTAAGTAATTCGTACCAAATGAATCAAACAAAACAGTAATTCTGACGCAGTTGGTCAGAGCAGCAGAAGAAACACAAAATATTGGGGATGGAAGGGCTTACAGGCCACAAGGTGAGGTAATAAACCATGAGATATGGAGTAGGAACAAGAAAATTCTCTCACATTCAGATAACTCATCTGTAAAATGGGAATGAGAGTTCAAAAAGTCTTAGGAGGTTATGAATTCATTTATTAAACAGTATACAACTGTTTTCCAAAACTTATAATGTGTTAGCGAGTGTTTTCCAAATTATTGGTCATTACATAAACCCATGAACTATTCATATGTTCAAACACTAGTTTATTGGGTCAAACTGGCCTTTCTAAAAAGTTGAAATAAAATAGACTATCAAAGGGTATCACACAAAGTAAGGATAAGTATTGAACATATTTTGTTGTGCTATATAACATTTTTTATTATGAATTATGTACTAAAAATTGCTAGGTATCACATTCAACATAGGAGACAGGAAAAATAAGTTAATACGGTTATATTTAAGAAGGCCATGTCACGGGACTGGGTGTAGAGCTCATGGTAGAACATGTGCTTAGCATGCATGCAGTCCTGGATTCAGTCACCAACACAGGAAAAGGAGAAGGAAGGGAAGAAGATGAAGAATTGTTCATTGTCTCATAGGGGCAGTAGCTGTGAAACTGGCTTTTGCCAAGCTTGGTAAGGAGGTATGATTACCTGATTCAAAGGATGTGGTTTGGGAACTAAGTAGGTGCAAACATTCCAGTAGACTGTGATACTTGCTAGATTTCTGTGTGATGGTGTCACTGATCAGGAAAGGGGCTTGAGAGGGAAACACAGGTGTAGGGGTTGGAGGAGGTGACAACCTCCATGAACAATGTGCATGGATTCTGCTTCTTAGGGGAGCATCTGGAGAGTCCCAGGTTACCCATGAGCTTAGTAGAATGAGCTAGAATTGTGGGATGAGGCACTGTCAGAGTGTAGCTGGCAGTAGAATCGTATCCTGTGGGCCCGGAGGAGGCCACCCAGGAAGAGGCTGTCTAACATCAGCATTTAAGGTGCTGGTGGGAGGAAGAAAGCACTCAAAAGGAGCAGGAACAGCTATAGTGGTAGGTGGTGAGTCCCAGAGTCAGGTGTAGTCCTGTGTGATGGCTCTTGGGCTCTGGAAAGATTGAAAATAATGCTGGCAAGTTTATTTATTGTTTTGAGGTTGGAGATCATGCCAGTTTTAAGAGTGAAAATTTTGACCTCCTGTGTGTCTTCCCAAGAGCTGGACCACAGGGTAGCTATGTATGCAATGCTAAACCACTGCTGGAAGTATAAGAAGATAAAAGCATTGTTGCTTTCATGAGCCCCTTAGATGGGGAGGGTGAGACTCCCAAGGGGCAGGCAGGCTAGGGGAGCCAGAATTGGTCAGCAAGTGCCCTTTTAAGGAGGGTGGGCAGTTGCACTGCAGTACTGGTGCTTTGCTGAGCAGCATTTGGGAGGTGAGGCCAGGACTGGATTATGAGGAACAGAGAGGAGAGGTAAATCATGGTCACAAGCTGTCACTCTCCACTCTCCCTCATGTGTGATTAGACTTCACCTCCACCTGGATGGCAAGAAAGTATCCACATTAGAGCCTTCTTGGGGCACCCAGTTTACTTCTTTCATAAATGAATGACTGCAGGAAAGAACAAATGCATTTTATATGGATGTATCCTTCTCTGTAAGCATCAGACATCTTCCAGTGTATTGTGCACCTGTTTCCACATTGCAGGCTCTCAGCTTCTCCATCCCCATCTCAGCCTCCTTGACAGCACTCTCCTTCCTCCCAGTCATCTGGAGTTAGAGTGTGAGTTTTGGAGTTTCTCTTTTTTTGTGTACCACTTTCCAACAAGCTGCCATCCGTTTGTGTGGAAGCAATATCATTCAGGAGAGGGTGACTCCCACATTTGTGTCTTTAGCTCAGATATTTCCTCTCAGTACAGACTTGTACCTGCCTGACTGACATTTCCGCACATCTCACATGACCCACGTGGATGTCTCACTTCTGCCCCTCCCTTGTTCATCTCCTTTCTCATCTCAGTAAATAGCTCACGAGCTCAAAACTGGGAGAGTCCAGGACTCTCTGCTTTCATTCACCCCTTGGCCGGATTCATGAGCCCAGACTGCCAGTTCTTACCCAAAGTCCCTCTCATGTCCTTCCCTTCTGTCCACTCTGCAGCCCCTATGCCTGTTTATGTTGCCAACAGCTTTTTCCTGTGTTGCCATCAAGTCTGCTGCCTGATGAGTGATACGTATTCCACATTTTTTAAATACTACTGTGTGATTCATAGAAGTTTAATCTTTCTTTCACCAACCCTTGGATACTAAAATGTACCTATAAAGACAAAATTATGAAGTTACCTATAAGCTAGGTGCATGTGTGCTGTGGTCATAGAAGCCCTGTTATTTTTCCAGAAGCTTTTGGCCCACACTAGCAGCACTGCACACCGAGGACGTGTGGTTGAGTGCTTCGTTGACTAGAAGGCCTTTGAGAAGCTCTTTCTTGGCATTTATCCCTTGTTTTAGGACCCCATCTTTGTGATTTTGGACGTTGCCAAGAATGAGCTTTTGCACATGTGTAGGCTGCCCTTTGGGGCTTTTTTGGGGGGCTCTATGATGCGCAAGTCCATCCAGGAAGCCAGGCTGCAACTTATTCTTAATTCCCCCACTTCTTCCCCACCACTATGTTTTTTGAGGCTCTTGTCTGTTTTCTTAGCCAGGGTCACTGACATAGTGGAAATGTCAGTGAAATTGAGTAATTAATCCCAGCTAGGAAATAGCACATTTTAATTTTAATTAAACATTAATGTTTAATGTTGCTGCTTTTTTTTTTTTTTTTTCCTGCTTGAAGGAATCCTTCCTATCCAAGTAATTAAAGTGAATGCTGGTTGTCTGACTTGGGCTTTCTGGAAGAGGTGGACTGAGTGGCCACTGAGAAGTAGGTAGCAGGCTAAGCACCCATTGGGACTGCAAGGTTCTCATGGGGGACCAGTAGTTAGCCCCAGATTAGCCCTTCATAGAAATATGACAGCGAAAAGCTTAGTTTCCTTCAATCCTCATATTATTTATAGAATGAAGGCAATGACTGCTTCCACTTCATAAGATGGCTGTGGAGACTGAGTGGGGGAATGAAGGCTAGTGCTTAGTCCCGAATGCACAATAAGTACTCACTAAATGTCTCTCCTTATTTAAAAAGTAGTATTACTTGCTTGCCAAATGCCTGGCTCATACACCACAAGACTTAGCAAGAGGGCTGGCTTAGAGCTAATAAAAAGGTACTTAACTAACACAGCTATGAATGAAGTGACCGTACAGAGACATTAGGTTCCGAAACATTGATTGTAAGCATAGATTGTGTGTTTGTTTTTTCCTCCTTTCTTTCTTTGGGCTAGTTTGAAATCTTGTTATTTAGATAGAGCTGGAGGTTTTATAGGACTCAAAGCACCACTGGGACAAAGGCTTGATGGTCTGGTGGCCTTGGCTGGCTCTGTTCATGAGGCCTTACCAAGGATGTCAGAAAAAAGCCAACAAGAATGTCTCACACAAGGGGACGTGCTCTGTACATGTCCCAATTCCCATTGAGTTAGTGTAATCATTATATATTATAAATATCTACTAATAAAAAATTTTAAAAAATAAAAAAAAGGAAATCAGGCATAGTGGCACATACCTTTAATTCTACTATCCGGAAGACAGAGGCAGGAGGATCGCTGTGAGTCTGGGCCAGCTACAAAGTGAGTTCAAGGCCAGCCTGTACTACATAGCAATGCCTTGTCTCAAAAAAATAAAAAAAGGAATGTCCTCCAACCTCACATAACCCATGGAGGGTTGGGGTTTCATAAAACTGTGCCAGGCCGTCAGCAAAGCAGAATTTTCCTACAGCAAGACTGTTGGCCAGGCTGGTTTATACAAGTCACCAGCACAAAAGCTCACCTTACGTCAGTCTGCCCTGAAGAGAATGCTGGAATAGCAGACTGGAAATAAAAGTACCTTTTAGATCAGGACAAACCTGGTTATCAGCGCAAGTCAATGTCCATATAAGGAACTGTAGAGGCAATTCCAACTGTGCTGGGGAACTAGAAGCCAGCCAGAGGCATACATCGGACAGAGGTGGGAGGGACAGAAGAGTCAGCACAGGAGTTAGAGTGCAGAGCTTTGGGACAGGAACAGGAGGCATGAGGAAGGGAGTTCCGAGGCCCCTGTTCTACTCTGGGGATAGCAGAGGCAGGAGGTGAGCTAGCCTTGGTTGGCAGCCTGACTGTGAGGAAACCCTGCTCTTCTGATGGGAAGGTACAGTTGTGTGAGAATCCATGGGTGCGTAAGAAACTGGGGACATTCCCTGTGACCTCTCCCAACCCCCTCAGCAGGGCCATGTGAGCACATAGCAGCAGAGACCATCAGGATTCATTCAATCACTTTGCCTTCTTGGGATTGACAAAGATGCTGCAGGCCGGGGCTCAGCCCACACTGGCGCTGGAATCTAAGGGAACTTGTGCCAGTCCACGCTTCCCAGGAAGGAGCTGTGGCCACTTCCCAAGCAATCAGAATGTCAACTGAGCCACCGCCACCCTTCCTGCTCCACCTCACAGGACCCCACCACCACTCTGTCCTTTGTGCATTTATCCTGCACGGTTTCATGCTCTGTCACTGCTCTTATGTGGCTTCCTGTGTTTTTGCTGGCTTTGGCAAGTCCCTTTAAAGCTTTCCCAGTACAGAAGGCCTACCCCTCTTTTGCTCCTATTGTGTTCCTAATAAAGAGGGCATGTGATCTAATACCCAGAAATCACTTTCTGGCCAAAGGCAAATTGAAACAGTTTTTTCTCTCACATTTCTGACATCCTTCTGTTATCCCCTAAGTAAAGGATTAGGGTCTTCTCAGACTCTGCGGGATAAATAATTACCCAAAGATACCACTGGCAGCTTGGGAGCCAGGGAGAGAGGAAAAGGATTTAGAAGTAGGAGGAGAACAAAGCAAGCAGGAAATGAGCAAAGAAGATATGAGATGTGTAGGTAAAAGTCCATTTTGCCACTCGGGACAACCTCAGAAGCATCTGGTACAAGCAGTGCCCCTGCAGAGGTCATACTTCCTGTTCATGTGTATGGGATTAAGTTACAGTCAAGATTCAAGAACAGTTGCCACAGAACATTGCCTTTTTTTGACCATCTCTGTGCTGCCTACACAGAGCTATCCTGACTCATGGGGTTGTATGTTTACCACCAGGAAACGCCCGGAGGTTGTGACAGTGACTGGATGGCAGGCACCAGTTGTATGGGAAGACACTTACAATGTAGCCGTGCTAGAAAGTTACTATGCCAGACGTAGAATCACCGTGGGCTTAACAGTGTTTGCTACTGGCAGGTAGGTGGCACTTACAGAATTGACTTTTCTTGTTCCACTATCAAAACAGTTGCCAGGGAACTGTTCGCTTCATCATAGAAGTTATGTATGACTCACCAGAATTATTAAGTAGGAAAATGTTTAAGCAGGACCAGTTCAGTCTCCTTTGTTCTTAGAACAAAGCAACAGTAGTTGTCTTTCTATTGCTACTTCAAAGGATTACGTACTAGGTTCCAATAGCCAGCAGATCCAGTGTTAACAGTGCCACCAACCAAGCCTGCTTCATAGCTTCCTTTGGGAACTCCCAAAAAAGCAGCTGTAGGCCTCCCAAATGTATAGCACTCTTCTCCGATAGTCTAAAGGCCCAGAACCGAGGGCTGAGGGAGTTACAGTAAGTCCTAGATACAAGATGGTTTTCTTGTTGGAGCAAATGGATAACCATTTTTCCCTGGCTTCCTTGGGTCACTTCCACCTGACCCTTCTGGAGGAGTTGGCCCTGGCAAACGTGGCTGGTCAGAGCGTCCTCTTTCAGAGGCTTCAGAAGGTTCTAGTTCCAGTTTCCATTCCCTGGTTCAGAACACTTGATGCAGCAAAATTGCAGTAAATCTTGAAGGTTGAAACTTCCATACTAATTTTAAAATGTAACCTATTTTGCTTTCTTGGCGAATAAGAACAATCTCTTTTCCAAATTAAAATGGAAAAAAAATGCAATTTTGCTATTTTTTCCTGCCCTTTGGGCCTTTCCATCTGTACCTTGTCTGAAATTGCTGCGTGGAAAGTTGATTGCACTGTTTTGTAGCGAGTTGAAGGCTCAGGCTGATCTGAGCTTGAGCATGACATAGATAGAGTCTAAAAGAGGTCTTTCAAAATCTGATAACTTTCCAGATTTCCCTACTTTCCCCAGCCTGGGGCCCAGCAGCCATTGCTGTCACTGTCCTTCACAATAAGAATCAAGTTCTGATGTTGACCTCATGTGTCTTTATTAGATAGGGAAGGCAAAATACAACTGTGTGCCTATTATACTGGCCAAAATAAAAAACACTGACAGTTCCCAATGTTGGCAAGAATTCAGAGAAACAGGAACCCTCATTTATTGCTTGTGGGAATGCAGGCTAATGTAGCCATTTTGGAAGAAAGTTTGACAGTTTCTTACAAAACTAAACATACTTTTACCATGCAATGTAGCAGTCACACTGCTTGGTATTCAAAGAAGATGAAAATATGTCCATACAAATACCTGTATATGAGTATTTTTAGAAGTCTGATAGATAGATAGATAGATATTGAAGAACTTGTAAGCAACCAAATTGTCCTTACATGAATGGGAAAATAAACTGCTACATAAAGACAATAGGATATTATTAAGTGCTTTTAAAAAATGAACTGTCATACCATGAGGAGATAAGAGAAATCTTAATTGCATGTTGTTCAGTGAAAGAAGCCAATCTGAAATGTCTGCATACTATATGCTTCTAACTTTGGCATTTTGCAGAAAGAAAAACTATAGAAACAGTAAAAAAAGACCCCTGGCTATGGACACTGAGGGATAACAGGATTGTTAGGGTAGTAAAACTAATATGAAGGTACTATAATTATAGACACACATCATTGAACATTTACCAAAACCTGTAAAACGTACAACACCACAAGTGTACCCTAATGTAAATGATGGATGTTAGGTGATGGTGCCTTGTCAGTGTATGTTTGTTGATTCTAACAAACCTAACATGTGAGTGCAGGGAGCTGACAGTAGGGAAAGCTGTATGTATATGAGAACTTTCAGCTCAGTTTTGCTGTGAACTGAAAATTGCCCTAAGTAATCAAGTTTTTTAAAGACAAATAGTTAAATTGAAATCAGAGGTTTTTTGCTGTGGTATTTGGATGGATCTTATGTGGGTGGTGTCTGAATGATAGACTGGCATTAGGGGTTACCAGTGGGAGACTCACAGGATGATGATTATGTGACATGGAAAGAGACCCAGGCCCATACCGTGTAACTTGTGTCAGAGAAGAGAATGAGGATGCTGAGGGCTAGGCTTCACCAAACAGAGAGTCAGGTAAGTGTGTGATGCTGGAGATTATGGAGCCCCAGAGGATACAAGGGTCACATCACCCTTGCATCTGGTCTGGCAGTAGCAACACTGTGGTACAGGTTAGAGTTTTTAAGAGAAGCCCAAGAACTAGCACCCCTTATGATTGCCCAAAGTCTGAATCAATTGATAAGCTGGACAAAGTAGTAAGGAAAGCAGATGATGGTAAGTATTACCTTCATTATAATATAATATTTTATAATATTTTAATATAAAAAAAATATAAATTTATATATAAAAATTTTATAATATTTTTATATTATAATATAATATTTTATAATATTATAAACCTGGTGCTGGAAATGTGGCTGGTAACAGCTGGCCCTGGACTTCTTAAGAACCACAGAGCTACTTAGGGGCCTTGACATCTACAGCTTTAAGAACTAGAGGCCTGTGGAAGTCCGAATGGAACTTGTTCCTCTAAGCTTACTGCAAGGCAAAGCAGTTGAGAATACCTGCCTTCTCACTGGCCATCTGCCAAGAGCAAGGGGACAGGGCTGTGCATGAGCAGCTGCTCTTCCAAAATTGGCAGTTGGAGAAGTCATTCCACTTTCCCAAGAACTGAGTACCCATGTGGTGGAGAGCAGCAGGGGTGTTAGACTAACAGATGTTCCACCACAGGAGAACGCACATCGGGGATGGGAAGAAATGGTTTCCCTCTTAAATGTAAAACACAATTTGATTAAAATGGCACATGGTCTCCTGTAAGAATCCAAAGGTTCAATGTATTCTTTTCTTCTTTGTTTCAGATACATTGATCATTACTTGGAGGAGTTCATAATATCTGCTAACAGGTACTTCATGGCTGGTCACAATGTCATATTTTACATCATGGTGGATGATGTTTCCAAGATACCTTTGATAGAGCTGGGTCCTCGGCGCTCCTTCAAAGTGTTTGAGATCAAGTCTGAGAAGAGGTGGCAGGACATCAGCATGATGCGCATGAACACCATTGCGGAGCACATTTTGGCCCACATCCAGCACGAGGTCGACTTCCTCTTCTGCATGGATGTGGACCAGGTCTTTCAGGACAACTTTGGCGTGGAGACTCTGGGTCAGCTGGTGGCGCAGCTACAGGCCTGGTGGTACAAGGCAGATCCCAGGGAGTTTACCTACGAGAGGCGGAAGCAGTCAGCAGCATACATTCCATTTGGCCAGGGAGATTTTTATTACCATGCAGCTATTTTTGGAGGAACCCCAAGTCAGGTTCTCAACCTCACCCAGGCATGTTTCAGAGGAATCCTTCAGGACAAGAAAAATAACATAGAAGCTAAATGGCATGATGAAAGCCATCTGAACAAGTATTTCCTGCTCAACAAACCCACTAAAATCTTATCCCCAGAGTACTGCTGGGATTATCACATAGGCTTGCCTTCAGAAATTAGAAACGTCAAACTATCTTGGCAGACAAAAGAGTATAATTTGGTTAGGAATAACGTCTGACTTCAAATTGTGCCAGTGGGTTTTCCGAACTTGAAGAGGGTGTTAATTCCTCAGAAAAGTAATTTTAGCTTTTTAAAAAAAATACTAAGATCGCCAACACAGCAGACATATAGTATCTCTCCTTATAACTTCGAGCCTTGAGATACAGGAGAATGAATGTATGGTAATCAGATGTAAGTTCCCAGCATTTTCATCTGGGTTTGGGGGAAAAACTATTAGCTGAACCAAAAAGAATTTGCCATAGGCAAAGAAAAAGCCAGAACACTTTGCATGTCAGGTAATGTATTGAGCAACAGGGTGCTAAGGGAGTAGTTTGGCAACAGGATACTGCAATAAGGGGTTTCATCCCCTTGATTTCAGTGTCTTTCTGGTTTTATTAAAGCAACAAGTTGCTGAACAGCAGGAAAACTACCAGCAGGTGTGCCTTCTACTTGGGAAACCCTCAAAGGCCTGCAAGCTGATTGCCTCAAGCTAATTGGAGTCTATTTCCTCATCTCATGTGGATATTGTTCCGCTTCTGTGCAAAAGATCCGGTGGAGATTCCCTGTGGATGTCACATAGGGTGATGCACATTCAGAGATCCAGGGAATCTTCTAAGTAGGCCAGTGGGTGCTGTGCTTCATGTGAAAGCAAATTAGCCCTGGGATGAAACAGTGAAGTGAGTGGAAAGAGGGGCTGACCACTTCAGGCCTGTGCCATTTTGGGGGACATAGGACACGGTGTTGGTGCTTAAATTACATTTGGTTGCAGGAGCTGAATGGGAGACAGTGTGGGAGGTCTCCAGCTTTCTCCACCCTGTGACACCTGGATGGGAGATGCCCAGCAGACACTTGTGTCTTCACCTTGGGAGGAAGTGGGTGGTGTCAGAGAAAGAGAGGGGCCAAAGGGGGCTGAAGAGGCCTGCCCAGATGACCTGGGCTTTGCATTAGCTGGTCCCACCAAGGATTCCAGACCTCAGGGTCCCCCATCCCCTTGTGTCCCAACCTAGAGGGCTGACATCAAGGAGCGGACTAGAGAAAAAGCCCTCCTGGTAAATGACCTCTGCTTTTCCCTACTCCATCGGCACTGTGGAATTTGATGTATTTGACAAAATGATTAATGAATTGTATTACAAAAGCATGAGAGGATAGAAATGGGAGACTGGTCATTGTGACTGAATACCTCAACAGTTCCCTTCTCTAAGGGAAGCAGTGACGTCTTATGGATTATAAATTAAGCAAGTTAGCGTATGGAAAGTCAGAAGGCAATATTTACATATGCACATATATTTATATTTTGCTTGTTTTCCAGTTCAGGTCATTTGCTGCTATTTTAAAGCAGTTTATTTAAAGAGTCACTGGCCTGGTTTGGTGTGCAGCACAGAGGGCTAGGGTAAAATGAAACCTACGTTTCCTTCACCATCGCACTGTGCCTCTTGTTCTTCAGCTTGGGGTCCCCACTTCTACCAGAAAAGCTCCACATATCCAACAAAAGCCAAACATTCTGACATCAGTTACGGTTCTTGGTTTTTTATTAAAGTTCTGTTGGACTCAGACTAGAGAAGTGATAGTTTAAAGGTTAAAGGCCTGAACTAAAGAAATGACCTATCCTGAAAGTTTGGAGAAAGATTTTGAAAGAATTTCTTGATTTTTAAAGAAAAATTAAATTTAAATTTAAATCCTCAATGTAAAAATTCAAGATTTTGTTAATAGCAGTTTTTAAATAAAATTTCTAATTTACAATCAAACAAATTATTTTCTCAGTGTATTCTGGGCTGGTCATGGATTATGCATTTTTAGGACATCATTTATAGAATTTTGGTTCTTAGAAAAACCCTCATGCCCTTCTGAAAATGTGTCCTATTATAAGGACAGTACTACAAAGAACAGGCTTGAGATCCACTCCTAAACTTTTAAAGCAACAAATGGTTATATTGAGTTTTCCAGAGTGATTCCCTGAAATAATTAACACTAGGGGAAGGACCATCAGGAACAGCCTTGTCCCTGAAGCTGCCAGGGCAGGGAAAGCCTGCCTAGGGGTATTAGTCTTGGCCTCTGAGGGATATGTAAGTATCTGACCACAGGAAAAGGCTGGCTGACTTTCCAGCAAATCTGGGTAGTTTGATCCCCAGTACCAAAGGAAAAAAAAAAAAGGCAGCCAAGCTGGTATAGTAAGATGCCCTGAATAAACAACAGAATGTAACTACCTCATTATAGAGAATTAGTTCCATTTTACAAATAAAGAAAGTGAGGTTCAGAAAAACTAAAGCCCCTATTTGGAGTTGAAAAGTGGCTGAGCTGAGGCCTAAACCCAGAACCTCACAAGGAAAACTGCAGGTGCAGAGCCTATACAGGGACACATTTCATGTCAGAGAAAAATGCAATTTGTAGAAAAATCTTTTAAGGGAGAGTTTTTGCCGTAAGAAGTACTGTTTTAAAATTAAAATTTAATTTTAGGTATCTTCTCAGGCCATACCATCTTCCTCTTTAATGTATTAAACCTACTTCAAATTCATGAAACACATCTAAATGTATTATGTTAAAAAAAAAAAAAGTCCGCACGCATGCAGGTATGAGTTAAACACAGCAGCCCCCAGTGGCTTGGAAGGTATGATCTGGCAAAGGGACAGGTGCACAGGACAGTTGCCTACCTCCCTTCCATGTGCAGCTGTAAAGGAAAAAGTCCAAGGCCTGAAGGGCTTCTCTTTGTCCTTGGGATAACCCTTGGTGTCTTTGATCTCTGCTAGTCAAAGTCACCACCTTGTGGGAACCTTAGCATTGGTATTTATAAAGTGTACTGTTCATTAAATGTGCTGTACAGAAGTGAGCAACATAGATGTGGCAGCCTTCTCACAAGCATGAGAAATCATAGAATGAATGTATAACGTACATCACACACCTTTTAATAGGGACAAATCTCGTATCTAAAGGGGTACAAAGGGTGGATTCAAGTCCAGGACTCTGATTAAATTCTGTGCTATTTGGACACAATTTCAAGCTGTCTTCTGTATTCTTGCCTACACACAGTTTACCCATCTTGTTTCTGAAATTGGGAAAACCCAGGAAATTACTAAGGAAAGATTTCAATTCCTTTGTTAGGCATTAAAGAGAAAGAACATTGAGGTGTTGATCTACAGCTGGAGAAGCAGGACCATGGAGGTACAGGTAAACACAGCACTAAGGGGGAAGGAAAGAAGGAAGGAAGGAAAAGAGGGAGGAAGGAAGAGGAAGTGGAAATAGCCACCAGAGGCCTGACAAAGGAACTAAGATATGAAAGAAGAGCAGGGCTCACTGTAAGGATGGCCTGTGGAGTCAGAGGCAGCATGTGGGAAGCACAGACACCTGCAGTAAGACTTTGAAAGAGACACAAAGAAATGGTTCTGGAGCTTTGAGATTGGATAGTCACCTGGCAGAGCCTGTGCGAAAAGAAGCAAAGAGGGCTCTGGCTGGCCACCCCTGCTCCGTTCACTCAAAACTTGCAGCCCTGTTCCCCCGCCCCACCCTGAGGAATCTGGTCTCCTTCCGGGAATCTAAGTGATTCCTATGGAATCTGGTGACATGGTTGGAGCAAGTGACCTAGGCTAAGCCATAGGCATTTTCCATGCCCCTGATGGAATGATTGATTGAGGAATGGACAGGTGATTTAAACTAGTGAATTTCAGATGTTTTGCCACACATGAAGAAGCATGAAATCCAAAGTGCCATTATTTTAAGCCAGTTGGGTTTAGATTTTCTCTTACTGTGACTGCACACATCCTACTGTATTCCTCAAGAGTCACTGGTTCCTTAAATGCTAGACTCCTGATTCCCTCTGCATTACCCCCAGCACTATTATTTAACTATCCAAAGCACTGCTTCATGAACATTTGCTAAAAAGGTGGATGAATGCACCAGCATCTTCTCCCTTCCTGCCCTATAAAAATGCTTTAAATTTTTTAAATTAACTTTGAGACAGGGTCTCCGTATGCACAGGATGGCCTTGAGCTCACCTTGTAGCTCAGGTTGGTCTCGAACTTGGGACAGTGCTCCTGCCTCAGCCTCTCCAGTGCTGGGATTACAGGTGTGTGCCGCCATGCCCGGCTAAAAAAGTTTAATTTTTGATTGTGGCTTTTGTGTCTTATTTAGAAAGCAGATGGTTTTCTGTCTGACATTGGAGCTTTTCCTCCTGTGGTTCACTGTATGGAAACTGAGAAGCTGCAGCTTGAATTCAGGCTTAGGCTCCAACCCTGTGCCGTAACCCGCAGGATCCAGGCTGCTTCAAAGGCGGTGATGCAAGGGATGCATTTGCTTCCTCAGCATAGACTAGTGGATCTCAGAATTTTTCCCTTCCAGGGCTCTGATACATTTGGCAATGGCACTGTCTGGAGACAGGTTTAGTTGTCACAGCCACTGTATGTATGGGAAGGAAGACTGCTATAGATATCTAGCTGGAAGAAGCAAGAGATGCTTACAATGCACAGGACTGCGTTGCGCCCTTGCCAGTTATCTGACTCAAAGTGACATCAGAACTGAGGCTGAGAAAATCTGTTAAGTTCTCTTGGAAAAAATTTTTTTTAATTCTCTTGAATTTAAGAAAGTAATATCTAGCTGGGTGTGGTAGTACATGCCTGTAATCTCAGCACTTGAAAGCCTGGGGCAGGAGGATCACTGTAAGTCTGAGGCCAATCTGGACTACATAAAAAGACCCTGTCTCAAAAAACAAAAGCAGGAGGATCATTGCAAGTTCAAGACCAGCCTGGGCTACAAAGTGAGGCCCAAGGCCAGACTGAACCTCATAGCTAGACCCTGCCTCAAAAAGACAGAAAAAAATAATAGCAGATAGGTAATGTGAAAAATACCTGCTTGTCTTGTGCTGGGAACAGTTTCTCAATAGGCAGGAGGACCTTGTAGCTTGTCTCCAAATCCTGCATTAAAGTTCAGACCTAACACAAAAGTAAAAAGTAGTGTCCCCCCCCCCCCATTGAACATCAAGGGGCAGGAATTTCTATGAATGACCCTGCTATCTGAAGCAACTGCTGTGCTTAAAAGCACTCTTTTCTGGAGCTGGTCATGACTGCACATTTGTAGAAATAGATATTAATTCTGCATATAAATGAAAATGGATATAAAGTATCTAAAGAAAGCCAGCCAAAGTTAGAATGCTCTACCAGTGAATTGGCTGCAACTATCCAGAGTAGGAGGTGGTTACAGCTCTGGCTAATGATATTGTGGGCGCAAGGGCCAATTGTCTAAACCTGAAAAGGAGCTCACAGTGGGGGAAGGGGAGTGGCTATAAAAGTCCCAGAAGGCAGAGATTGTGGGCAAGCAGGCAGCAGTGTACTGAAGCGGCTCATAAGGACTTTTGGGGACAATATTTCCCAACTGGGTGTTCGGTGGCAATAGGAGAGCTCAAAATAGGCATGCTGAGAGTATTTACATTGAGATCAGAAAACACTAGAATTTAGAGTCTTCTTTTCTTTTCTTCCCTTCCCTTCTTTTTCCATCACTTTATTTTTAGAGTCAGTTGTTTAAAATGTAGGAGCACATCACTGTAACCAGCCTGTGAGACAGAACCAGAGAAGTTCAGGGACCTCAACAGCTGGAAATTGTGACCACTCCCACCCAGAAGCCTGCCATAAGTGTGAGCCATCTCCAGCTACCTCCAGTCTCAGGCTTTCTTTCCAAATTGAATTCCATTTGGTACACAGGTGTAATTTCACCTTTCGGGAGGTGAAGGCAGGAGAACTGTAAGTTTGACACCAGTTTGGGCTACATGGTAAGACCCGGTCTCAAAAAACAAAAACCTAAGTTCCTAGAAAAGAAAACCTAAATGGCATGGCCTCCGCACCTTCTCACAGCAGCTGAGCCTTTGGAGGATGGCCACACTATGAGACAGTTCTCAGAATAGGATTTATGGCTGTGAGCCGGGAGGTGGGACCCTCTATAAGTAACTCCCACTTTGCACTTACCTATGGGTCCTGGCTGTAAACCACTTCTTCCCACACATCCAAAATACTCCTTCCCACCAGGATCTGAAAATGCTATTCAGTATTCCAGTAAAGCCCTCTCCTAATAGCAGGCCACTGAATCCAGTGTTAGGGGTCAGGCTTTTAAAGCATCTCCAGGTAATAATTATTTCTTTTGTTCCTTTAGCTTTGCTCCTGGCTGGCTGTTTTATAATCTGAAATACATGGTAAATTTAGTTCATACAAAAACATGGCCAATAATAGGAGAAGCAGAAAGCAGGAAGGGAAGAGATTATAATAACTGTTTAAGAGAGGGAAATGGTAACTGGGTGTGGTGCTACATGACTCTTATCTCAGATGCGTGGGAAACTGAGACTGGAGGAGGGCAAGCTTAAGGCCAGTCTGGGCAACGTGACCATGTTTTTAAAGGAGTGGGGTGGGTAGAGTTAATAGTAGAGTTCTTGACTAGCATGCATGAGGTCCTCGTTTCAATCTCTGGTATTACAAAAAGAAAAATAAAATAAAATAGGGAATTGATGATTACCTGCTTAAGAGGGGCTATGGTTTGTCCCCACAAAAACTCACATTAAGCCTTGGTCCCCAGTATATTTTTTTTTTTTCTTTGAGAACAGATGTTGCTATGGAGCTCAGGCTAGTCTTGAGCTCACTTTGTAGCCCAGACTGGTCTTGAACTCACAGCAACCCTCCTGCCTCAGCCTCCTGGGTGCTGGGACAACAGGTGTACATCACCACACCTGATTTCCCCAGTACAATATTGTGAAGATGTATCAGGACCTTTAATAATGA